TCATCATCGTCCTGGGCGCCGCCGCGTGAAGACGACCCCTGGTGATTTCCCAATCCTCATCCCGCTCGAAAGCCCATGTCTGGCAATCCCCGACCCGAAAGGGGCCACAGTGGGTGCCCGCGCCGCCCCACAAGTGCGGGGACCCGAGGCCGCCCACGCCTCCGGCGCCCGCGTGGGCCCGTGGCCTTCGGAGCGGCTGCCGCCGGGCAGCCCGCCTCGGAGGCCGAGTGCAGCCCAAATCTCGATGATCCTCAAGACATGTGTTTCCTGACTACCTACAAGACCACCCCAACCCAACACGAAGATTCCAATGTCGGGTTGTGGCGGGGGGTACGGGTTTCACATAATGTTCTCTGACGCCCCCCGCACTGGGAATGGAGTGCAAATTATCGGCGGTGGACAAACCTCCCTTTAGTAAACCTCCCTTTAGAGAAAACGGCCTGGGACCGAAACCGACGGACCTCGACACGCAAAAACGACGACCGCGACGCCCTCTCGCGAACCGGAAACGGCCAATTCGCCAATCGACGTGTCAGGGTAGGAGGTCTGTCCACCCCCGAAATTAGGCCCTTCGCGTTGGGATGGGGTGGTCTGGTGGGCGGTGGGTTTGGGGGCTTTCCGTATTTCGTCGGAGGACCGCACCGCCTCGTCGACACATCACCGATGCCTCGGCGACGTCGACGATGTATCGGCGACGTCGGCGTGGAGAGAATCGGCTCCACATCGAGCCGCATCGCCGATGCATCTGCGATGCATGGTCGATGTGGAGCGACCCGCCGACCCCACCCACCCCGACCCCATCTGAGAGGACTGGATCGTTAGCGCCAGCGTGTGCTTGCCCACCGAAGCCCGCCAACCCGACGCAGGCGGGGCAACGAGGGCCAGCACAGGCCGAGCGGGGCAACGCACATCGGGGACCTCACGTCATCAGTACCACCGGCAATCCGACGGCCCGCGTTTTGTGTCGCTGTTACTGCTGCAATCCAGCCAGTCCCTTTCGATGAACGAGGAGGCGGCAGAAGACGAGGGGCCTTCGGGGGGCACTCGTTCGGCCCTGGGACGGTTAGAAATCGACCCGGGAAGAACACGACCCGCGCCTGCCGTTTCTGCTGCCATTCAAGCCAATCCTGTTCGAGGGGCGAGATTCGATGGCCGCGGACCCCCTCGAATAGTGAAGCAAGCACGGCGGACGGCTTCTGTCGTTTTCGGACCCTGTGGGGCCCTCGCACGGCCCTCTGGGGCCTTCAGAGCACGACTCGGGAGGAGAAGCCATTCCCGGGAAGGGATCCACACCTCTGAGGGTTTGTGTTTGGTCGCGACCGCGAGCGGAGACCTGCGCGGCGTCGTAAGGTCGCGCGGAAAAAGGAAGGGGCCGCTACGCCGAGCCAGCGCTACACGGACGGCACCGCGGGCGAAGCAGGAGGGGGCGAAACGACGAATAAAGCGAAGAGCAAGAGGCCTGTGAGGGTACACGCCGCGGAACAACAACAACAAATTGACGACGGCGGTCTGGGCCCTCTGAGGAGCAGCGGCAGGGCTGGACCAGCTGAGGAGGGGGAAGCATCGACCTGGCATCGGCGACACGTCGCCGACGGCTCGGCAGTGGGCCCCCGACAGCGATGTCCGCGCGATCGTGGGCGGGGCGGAAAAACCTGACCCGTACCCTGCCATCGCTCGGACGTCCACTCCCCGTGCACTCTTCGGCTCCGTGCGTGTGTTGTTTGCCCGTCACATGAGACAGGCTGCTCCTCCATGGTCCCACACGAAAGAACAGACACACGTCCGAGCGATGCCGCGCTGCCGGCCATGATTGGGCGACTATTTACCAGCCTGGAACATATCCCTATCACTATGTCGGGCATCTCCTCATCACGATGCCAATATTAGGGATTCCCTTATTTTTTTTTTCTTCGAGGGCGAACCCCTAAGATTGTCATCGCCTTTGGGCGTGTCAATCTTGGGGATAGGGATACGTTCGAGGCTGGAAAGACTGTGGGTCGCTGCCCCCGCTGCAGCGTGCCCGCCTCAATGGTCGCCGTCGTCTCGCTTCCGGGCCAAACCTCGGCTCTCCGACGGCCGTTCCGGGCAACCTGGGCAGCCCCGAGCACCCTCGGCGAGGCACAACTGCTGGAGACCACACCGGGACTCGGAAACTTCCGCAAACCTCCCGCCTGGCGGTGCCCCCAGAAAGAAGAAGGAGAATGGAACTCGGCGGCGCGCCTGGGGGGGGGGGGAAAGACAGGGGGCAGCCCTTCTCAGAAGGCGGCGGGTCTTCTCAGAAGACCTCCAGCCTTCCGAGAGCCAGCTGCGTCTTCAGGTTTCTCAGAAGGCCGCCCTATCTGCCCTCACACCTGGGCGCGCCGCCGAGTTTGGAGATTCTGAATCTGATTATTCCTCCTCCTCGTCCTCCTCTGCTCCTCTCCTCCTCCTCCTCCTCCTCCTCCTCCTCCTCCTCCTGCTCCTCCTCCTCCTCAGTGTTCCTCTTGCTCCTCGTCCTCCTCCTCCTCCTCCTCCTCCTCCTCCTCCTCCTCCGCCTCCCCTGTCCTCCTCATCGTCTGTCCTCCTCCGCGGTCCTCCTCCTTCTCCTCCTCCTACTCCTGCTCCTCCTCCTCCTCCTCCTCCTCCTCCTCCTCCTCCTCTTCCTTCTCCGACTCGGCTTGCACCCGTCCGCCTTCGGGCCTTTCCTCTATCTTCTGTCCGCCTCATCTTTCCACCTACTCCTGCTCCTCCTTCTCCTCCTCCTCCTCCTCCCTCCTCCTCCTCCTCCCTCCTCTTCCTCCTCCGACTCGGCTTGCACCCGTCCGCCTTCGGGCCTTCTCCTCTATCTTCTGTCCGCCTCATCTTCCACCTCTATCCTCTCTCCTCCTCCTCCTCCTCCTCCTCCTCCTCCTCCTCCTCCTCCTCCTCCTCCTCCTCCTCCTCCTCCTGGCTCAAGGACTCGTCTTGGCCCGAGCTTGGCCCTGCCTCCGCTCGGCACCGTGTGCCGCTCACGTCAGACCTCTCGCGCACGAAGCCCTGCAGCTGCAGGCAGCTGGCCTCGGCGCCTCGTGCAGCGCGCACGGGCGTGCGCGCACCCGCGCCACGCACGCTCGCCCTATCCAGCGGGCCCGCTGCAAACTGGCGGAGTCTCTGGCGCTCGGCGGCCCGCCGGGCCTCGGGGAGTCGGTCTCGATGGAGGCCTGCAACACAGTGCCGCACGAGGGCGTCAAGTCCGAGGACGCCTTTCTGAAGGAGCGCGCCGTGGAGATGGAGGAGCACACCGCCGTCACTCACACTGCGGCGCCTCCCATGCTGGTCGCGCAGGATCGCCTGAAGGTGGTCGTGGCTGCGGCGCTCCGTGGAACGCTGGAGCGCAGCCAGGCGGCTGAGGCAGCAGACGCCAGCACGATGGAGGAGCTTATCGGCGCCCGCACCCTCGTGGACGCCTTGTCCAACGCGGACAGCGTGGAGCTGTTCGACACCACCTTCGAGAGACAGGCTCCCATCGACAAGCTGAGCCTCGCCATGCTGAACAACCAATGCGAGGAGAGCGAGGCCATCCAGACACCGACTGATGGCGGGGGCACTGTCCACACGATGGCTGAGATGGACGCGATCATCTCACCCCCCAGTGTGGACAGCCTAGACGGCCCGCCCAGCAATGAGAACAAGGGGCTAAGCGACATCACCTTCGAGAGCTTGGTGTGCATCGACAAGCAGTTTCCCGACATGTACCCGCCCAGCGACAACGAGGAGCTGAGCGACACCGCCTGCGAGACTCCTGAGCCCGCCGATAAGGAGGTCGTCGACCCGTGCGGCGAGGAGGCCACGGAGCAGTCGGCCCTCGTGTGCAGCACCACCTTCGAGGATAAGCAGTATGTGCGGGAGGCGAAGATGTTAGGCAATTTCTTTGAAGGAAGCATACGGTACGAGCTGGTGCACTGCGAGGATGGCGACACGGAGGTGCCCCCTGGAGCGCCGAGCTTGCCGCCGTCTGCCGAGAAAGCGATCGACAAGTGCGTCGAGGAGCCCATGGAGAAGAATCCCCGCTGGCTCTGTCTCGTCGGTGAGAACTGGGACCCGTCCGGCGCTTGCGACAAAGACGCCGAACTCGAAAAAGTGTACCAACTATTCCTGTCAGGAGATGGAGCCAGAGAAGTAAGAGTCGAGGCTAACTTCAAAATGTCAGTCAGAGTAGATTGTGCACCTTTCTGTGCGAGGTCGCTTTGCAAGAATAAATTCAACAATTTCAGGCATAAGTTATGGAGGCGCCTTGCAGTTGATGCGTTCGGTGATGCTCTGTGCTGTGAAGTGTCTGTTTGACAGGCCCCCTGAGGGTCGTCGGAATGAATGTTTGCTGCCTGTGTGAAGGTCGCAGGCTGCAATCGAATAGAGTTGTGCGATCAGGAAAACGAGCCAGTCGCTGATGCTTGCCTGGTCGAATGGAGCGTCGTGATGGCCTCAGAAAGTCGTCGGATTTCTCACGGAAGAGATCGCGGTGCCACGGTGCATCCCGGTCGTCGCTGCGAGCCGATCTCGTTGCGACTCGATCCATGAGGTGACTCTGTGCCACGAGGTTTTGGGTTAGGGTCGGGTCGACCAACCCTTAGCCTCCCTCATTCGCCATGTAAGCGTCCTCCTCCTCCTCATCCTCTATCCTCCTCCTCCTCCTCCTCCTCCTCCTCCTCCTCTATCCTCCTCCTCCTCCTACCTCCTCTTCCTCCTCCTCCTCCTCCTCCTCCTCCATCCTCCTCCTCCATCCCTCCTCCTCCTCCTCCTCCTCTCCACCTCCTCCACCTCCTCCTCCGCCTCCTCCTCCTCCTTCGCCTACGCCTCCTCCTCCTGCTCCTCCTCCTCCCTCTGCTCCTCCCCCTCCTCCTCCTCCTCCTTCTCCTCCTCCTCCTCCTTCTCCTCCCCGTCCCCCTCCTCCTCGTTTCCCTGGGGCTCGCCGCCGATAGACGAGGCAAGCTGTCGCTGAACCCGCCACCGCGCCGCTGCACCCGCCCAGGGCCAAGGCCGCTTTACGCCCCCCCTCCTGGCGCCTCGCTGCGGTCGTCGTCCGCCCGTGGGGTGGGGCTGGGCGTCTGGAAGGCGTCGAACTCGGAGGCGACCACCGTCGCGCTGTAGATTTTGCCGCCTATCTCCACCTTCAGGCCCGAGCCGTCGCGGGGCGCCTCCGCTCGGGGGGGATGACACACGAGGGCGGAGGAGGAGGAGGAGGAGGAGGAGGAGGAGGAGGACGAGGACCAGTGCAAACCCAAGAGTCATCAACGATGTTGGAGTACACCCTCCCTCCAAGCTGCCTCTTCGTAGGCCCCTTACAAACGTTCGCTTCCATTAGTGGAACTGCCTCGTTGGAAGACACCCGTTGGAAGACTCTGAAACATGTCAGCACATTGTTCTCGGGATCCCAACGCCACGGATCAACCTGACCGTTGCGTCTTGACGCCCCTGCGTCGTGCCAGAACGCCATTCCTGGGACTTCAGCACAGAGAACCAACGTAACTGTTGCGCCCGCATAGCCCTGAACCCGTTCTCAAACACAAGTTCTGGCACGTTGACGAAGGGAGTCCGTGAAATGCTTGCACCTCTTTAGGACGAATGTGCGCGGCGCTAAAGCGAGAGCCACATTCTGAAAACGACCCGCCCTCAATCCGTGAAGCCCTTGCACACTTTGAAAGCGAATGTGCGCCGCGCTAAAGCGAGAACCACATTTTGAAAACGACCCGCCCTCAATCCGCGAAGCCCTTGCACTTCTTCCAAATGAATGTGCGCCGCGCCAAAGCGAGAGCCACTTTTTGAAAACCACCCGCCCTCAACCAGCCAAACTCTTGCAACTATTCAAACGGTTGTGTGCCGCGCTAAGGCGACAACCACAGTTTGAAAACGACCCTCCCTCAATCCGTGAAGCTCTTGCAATTTGTTCAAACGAATGTGCGCCGCGCTAAGGCGAGAGCATATCCCACCAGCCCTCTGGGCGTCGGTGGTTTAGGGCGTTTCCTCTTCCACCCCTCCCTCTTCCCCTTCGGGGAGGGGTTTACCCCTCCCCCTACCCCCTCCCCACTGACCTGGACAGGAGGGGCGGGGAACGGTCAGAGCGTCCAAAACGGCCTCGGCGAGGAAGCCAAAATCATTGATTTACTATAGTTCGGGCCCCATTTTGGCCTTCTGAGGGGGCAACGCTAATTAACGCTCCCCTCTTCTTTTATCGATTTCCTCCACGATGGCCGCAAGAGGCCCCCAGGATGCCCCAAGAGGCCGCAGAATGGCCCCAAGATGGCCCCAAGAGGCCCCCCACGAGGCCCCCAGGAGGCCCCCAAGAGACCCCCAAGAGGCCCCAAGAGACCCCCCAGAGGCACCCAAGGTGCTCCCAGAGGCCTCGGCGATAATGTCAAACCATTGTTTGCACTAAGGTTTTAGCCACATGTTGGCCTCTTGGGGGGGGGCACTGATTAAGATGACTCCAAGAGCGCCTCGGAGAGCCCAACATGACCTCCAAGATGGCTCAAGAAATCCCAAGATGTCTCATACTGGCTTCCTCTGTGTGCTGTCCACTTCCCTGATCGAGGCAATCCCACCAGCCCTCTGGGCGTCGGTGGTTTAAGGCGTTTCCTCTTCCACCCCTCCCTCTTTCCCTTCGGGGAGGGGTTTACCCCTCCCCCTACCCCCTCGCCGTGGACCTGGACGGGGGGGGCCGCGAGCGGTCAGAGCGTCCAAAACGGCCTCGGCGAGGAAGCCAAACTCATTGATTTTACTGAGATGTTGGCCCCATGTTGGCCTCCTGAGGGGGCACAGATGGCCCCAAGAAGCGCCCAGGAGGCCCCCAAAGGCCCCAAGATGGCCCCAAGAGGCCCCAAGAGGCCCCCAGGAGGCCCCCACAGAGGATCCCGAACGGCCCACAGAGGCCACCCCGAGGCACCCAAGACGCCGAACAGCCCCTCAGGACGACCCTCTACTCGCCTGGGCGTCGTTTCTGGACGGGCTGGTGGGGATACGCGAAGCGTCTAGAATTTTGAAAACCACCCGCCCTCCATCTGTGAAGTTGTTGCAAGCGTTTAAGCTTCATGGTCATGAATGGTGAGGAAGTGTCAGGTGAAACGCCTGGGTCGTCCTAACAAGTGGCTTCGGGGTGCGACAGGGAGAAGTTATGTATAAGGACAAGGTATGGAGGAGAAGAAGGAGGAGGATGAGGAGGAGAAGGAGGGGGAGGAGCGAACGACGAGCTGGGGGGAACGCTCGTCTCTCGTCATCAGCGCCTGCACGGCCCAGCGCCGCCGACGGGGCATGGAGGGAGCCTCAGGGCACGGAGGAGGAGGAGGAGGAGGAGGAGGATGGAGCATAGAGGAGGAGAGAGGGATGACAGGATAGAGGAGGAGGAGGATAGAGCATAGAGGAGGTGGAGGAGGAGGAGGAGGAGGAGGAGGAGGAGGAGGAGGAGGACGAGGATAGAGCATAGAGGGATGATAGGAGCCAGAGAGGAGGAGAGAGGGATGGGGATAGAGCATACAGGAGGATAGAGCATAGAGGAGGAGAGAGAGATGACAGGATAGATAGAGGAGGAGGATAGAGCATGGAGGAGGAGGAGGATAGAGCATAGAGCATATAGGAGGATGACAGGAGCCAGAGAGGGAGGCGGGCGGCCTTGCTTCGGGGTTTCCAAGACCACGTGGCGACCTAGGAGCCCACGCATATCTCGCCGCACGGTCAGTCCCCGCGCGGTGTCGCCCAGGGTCCTAAAACCGAGCGGTCGCCCTGAATACCCACTGACTCACCGCACGGTGGGGTCACCATGCCGTTTGGTGGCCGCCGGTTGACGCACAAGCGGCCCACTGATCTCTAGGCTTAGGTCGGGCATGTCCTCCTACAGGCAGTTCTTGACAGGAAAATTAAGCATAGTAGTGAAATGCTCAAAAATAATCACAAAATCGTCCCCATACTATTGTTGACCATTGATCTCTGGGATTCGCCGCCCCGCCTCCAGCCGGCGCCCGATCGAGGCTGGCCGCCCTGCACAGACGCCAACGGCGCCAAGGTGCCAGGCGGCCGCGGCAACCACCGCTTTTCACCGCGAGGGCTCCTCGCGGCCGTCTCCGTCGGCGATGCTCCCTGCAGGCCCGAGCCGCATCGAATCGCAAGATCGGATCGGAGCGGGAACGGATCGGATCGCCAGTGGATGGTCCTCTGTCGGATCGAAAAGGCATCACCGCGCCGGGCTCTGAGTGGCCCTGGCCGACAGCATTGAAGGGGCCCCAGGACACAAAAAAAAATACACACAAATAAAACTATTCCCCATATTTTCCTATATTTTCTGGGTTTCTGTCTTCCCCCCCACTTCCCATATTTTCCCATATTTTCTGGGAAATCGAGGATTAATTGTGTCTGTGTGTTTTTTTCCTCCTGAAGCATGGAGTCGAACCACATCGAATCGATTCGGAATCGCGGGCCCAGCCGGCCAATCGAATCGCATAGACTCGGATCGCAGGCGGCCCTGCCCGGGGGGGAGGCAGAGGGGGCGGGCCTTCTCAGGAAGGTCGGCAAGGCCCCTGCCGAGGAGCTCTCTGAGCCTCATGCGAGGCCACGGGAGGACTCCCCAAACGGCCCGAGGATTTCTGATAGGCCCCGCCGAATTACGGGAAGGCCCGACTTCTCTCACTTCCCCCCGCGGCGTGCCACCGAATGACACCAGTGTGCAGTTGGCCCGTGTAGGAAGGCTGCACAGTAAGGATGCGAATGGCATCGGAAGTGCCGAGCGGGGCGCTGCCAGCAAGAGTGGCCGAGGATGAACCGAGGAGGCAAGAATGCAAGGGGTGCCCCTTGGGAAGGTGGCCCATATCCTGACCGTGCGGTTTGACTGTTGTGGTCCGAGGAAAATCCTGGAGGCCTCGCGCGGCAACTTGCGACCCAATCTACGTCGGATGCACGTCGGATGTACGCTGGGTGCACGTCGGAGCGTCGTATGTACATCGGAGTTACGTCGGAGCACCGCCACGCGAACGTCGACCCGTATCTGACGGGGCGTGCGTGCGGACTGGATTATACCACTGTTGCGCGGCGCGCGACGGGATCGGCGACTGGACAGCAGCAGCCAAAGACCCACATTCATTGAAATTGTACGACAGGACATTTTCTTCACCACATGAGCGTCTGCTAGTTGTCACCCGCCTGTGCCCTAAGCGGCCGCCCCTTCGCGGGCAAACAGGCTTGACCTCGACCTTGACCTTTCGCGCCCCGCGCTTCCTTCCGGAACGACCCAACATCGATCAGCGCATGGCCACTGCCACTGACACTTGGAAGCTGGGCGAGGGCTGGCAAATCCGTAGCTGCTAAAACGGCCTTCCCCGAAGAAAAAACATATTCCCGGAATCAAGCTCGGCGCACGAAATAGTAAACGGGCTGCATGCTTCCCGGAAGAAAACCAAGAATTTCTCGGAGCTCTGTTTTGGCAGCCACGGGTTTCCCAGCCTGCGCCCGGCTTCTGAGGTCGTGGTCCGCAGCCCTGGCAGACGGGCCACGGGCACGACTTCCACCAGGGCACTGCCGCGCGGCGGCCCACACAGCGCCACCCACCTTGGCTCAGGTCGCGCACGTCCTCCTACAGACGGATTGTCGATGAAACATTCAGAATGCCAGGACGTATCCAAAAACGGCCAAACCTAGTCGGAAAATCGTCCCCAGACGGTGTTTGGACTATGTTTGCATATTCCTCCTGTAGAGGGGTATGCCCGACTTCAACCCTGGCCAGCATCACCACGACCCCAATGGCCAGCAGAATGCAGAAGTTGTGCTCGCGCTGCCAGGCGTGCATCGGAGCTGCCAGGCGGGCAGGTTTGTGTCGTGACGGCTGGCGGATCGTTCGAGGTCGGTCCATTCAGGGCCACCGGTGGCGATCGACCTTGAACGCCTGCGACGTGGTCGCCGCCGCGTCGACGCGACGCGAACCTACTGTACCCCCGCTGCGGAGTTCTTCTGCAGAAGCCACGCGCAAAACTCATCAACGACAAGGGCCACGGCACCAGCTCGATACCTGAATCAACCATGACGGCGATAACGTGTGATGAAACTGCGTTGTAGGCAAAGCAGCTGCATGGCACTGGAGAAGGGAGCGTGAGGAGGGGCAAGTCAGGGACAGGACCGAAACCAGCGGCAGCTGGCGAACGGGGACGGCTGGGAACAGTGCCACGGGACCCAGCCCGGGACGCGTTGTAATGAGTACTCGACGCCGAGGTCTCCATGTGTGCATCGCACTGCCTGGCACGTCCGCCTGCGATTGTCTGCGTGAGCACCCTGGCCTGCGGCGGCTGAGCGCGCCCAAATGCAGCGCCTGTGGCGCTGGGATGATCCTGGGGCTCTGCAGCGACTGGGGGACGGGAGTGCCTCACCCAGCGATTCCCTTGCGAGGCCCCTTGGCGCCAATTGGCAAGTGCGACGCCGCACGGCGGCTCCCCCTTGGGTTGCAAACGTGGCACGGGTGCAGACAACCCGCATCATAAGGATACGCGAGAAGGATGCAAAGGGCATTGGAGAGCCGTTTCGAAGCTTCTCGAGCCAGGCGCGGCAAACGAAGGTGGCCAAGGACGAGTCGAGGAGGAAAGGATGCAAGAGTACCCTTGGGAACGCTGTTGCCCATCCTTACCATGCGGGTTGACTGTACTGCATCCTGATCACGCGGTTCTGAATGGAGATGAATCGGGGGTGCCAAAACCAGGGAACCGCTCGAGGCATCTCAACAATCCTGTCTTCTCGTAGTGGTCCTGAGGCTTTCAAGATTGAAAGGCCCGGGGCGCCAGACGAGCGGATTCACTCGAGATCTCCCGCCATTTACACAATCTGGCCGCGAACTCGCAAAGGTCCCCTCACTGGCGGATCAAACTGGGAATGCCCCAAAGCCACGCCTACTGTGTCGCCGTGATCATGGACCTCTCAGAAGGATGGGGTCTGGCCCACCCAGCGAGGACATCGCCAGAGACATGCTCACAAGCTGGGCGCAAACGGGCAAGTGTCACCCCCCTTGGTGGCATCCCCATGAATGAGCCCAAATTCAATGCCTGCTACGCGGCGGTGGCAATGGGGCTCGCAAGCGAAAGGATGCAGGGGCGCCGAAACAGGCAAGGCGCCTGCTACATCCCAGTGGTCTGGGCGCGAACGAGGATATGAACCACCTCCAGGTGGCTCTCCCTTGGGATGCCCAAGTGCCAGGACTGCTTTAACGCGGCGAGACTGGAACTTTTCAAGGGAGCAGTGGAGAGCCCAACCAACCACCGTCTGAGACACCACCGCCAGCTTGGCGCAAACGGAACAATTGGACCAACTCTGGCGGCTCCCTTTTTCGGGCGCCCAATCACCAGCCCTGCTGAAATCGCGATGGTCGTGACGCTCTCAAAAAAGAGAGGAGGAGTCGGAGACGCCGAACTGGGTCAACCGCCTAAAATATCCCCATGATCTGAACGTGAACGGGTCCCTCCCCTTCCCCCCCGTCCTCCTCCTTCTCCTCCTCCTCCTCCTCCTCCTCCTCCCCCTCCTCCTGTTCCTCCTCCTCTTCCTCCTCCTTTTCCTCCTCCTTTTCCTCCTCCTCCTCCTCCTCCTCCTCCTCCTCCTCCTGGCTCCCAAGTGGGCTGCCCAGATGCCACGCGTTCCTTACCACGGCGGTGACCAGTGAGCCTGAGCCTGGTGAGCAAGTACGAGCGGGCGTGAGTACAAGTGGCAGAGTGTGGGAAGATGTGTTTCTGCGTGTGAGGCTGAGCACGCGCAGGCCTGAGTGTGGATGATCATGCAGTGAGCGGTACTGTGTCTGACTACGGGTATGGCTTGGCTGGCTACGAGCGGGTCTGGGTCAGACTGCTCTGGGCATAAGTGAGTCTGGGTATGAGCGAGTCTGAGCGTCACTGGATCTCAATGTGATAGACTTCTGAGCATCAGTGGAGCCGGGTGAGAGTGCGTCTGGCAGTGTGACCATGAGTGGTTCAGAGTGTGAGCGAGTCAGACATTGAGAATGCCTGAGTGTGAGTGAGTGAGTGAGTAAATTGGAGAGGTGAGGGGGAGAAGGTCAGTGGAATGAAGAGGAGAAGTGAGAGAAGGAGGCGTCACATGAATATCAACCCCATACTTCGGATGTGGGGGACAACCAACTGAACCGATTAATTCCACGCGGATTTGCTGTGTCGGCGCTGGGCCTCCCTCCCCAGCTCGCGGAGCCGGGGAGGGGCGGCGCCGCAGGCGCCGCCAAGGGAGTGCATCTTTCTGGGCGGGGTGGGGTGACCGGGTCTCCATGGGCGAGCAGTGGGCGATTTGGGGTCGATGCGTTCCCCATTGAGCCCATCCCCTCCAACGTTGACCCTGCAAAAGGGGTCAGAGCGGGTGGGGTCGGAGGATCGTTCCGCATCGCCGATGCATCGGTGCCGTCGGTTGGAGAGAATCGCGCCCTACATCGAGCCGCATCACGGAGACGCCTGCCGCGCGGCGCGGGACCTTCCGACCCCGCCTGTTCGCGAGCCCAACCGGGGTGGGCTGCAAGGGGAACCCGTTGCCAGAAAGGCCGAGCGCCAGCGGCGAGCTTCAATCTCGATTCGGCAAGACTCAACAAGTGGCCCCAGGCAAGAGAGCAACTTGGTGCGCGGGTTACGGGGGCGCAGAATGGCCGAATCTGAGCGCGCAAGCAGCCATGCTCGCATCGCGCTCCGCGATCGGGGGACCCCAGTGAACCCGTACCTAAGGTCGCTCTGGCGAAGGGTCACCCGTACACGTCGCTCATTTCTAGTCGTGCTCGTTTCTAACTGTGCTCGTTTCACATTGTTCCTGGCCCCCCAGTGGCCAGGAAAGAGGCCCAGGATGGAACAATTAGAAAGGAGAGGATCTTGGCCCCCCAGAAAATCAAAGCCTTCTCGAAGAATTGGACACGAACAAGGTGAACGCGTTGCCGATGGATCGGGAGCTTGCGGAATTGGAGGGAGGGCCAGCCCGGGGGATGCCGTCCCTGGGCGCACGCGTCGTACAATCGGCTCGGGCGGAGAGCGGGCGCCGGGCCTCTGGGGCCCGCGGAGGGCGGGGGGCGGGAGGGGCCCCGACGGCGGCGTGCGCAGGCCGCCAGCGGCCAGTCGAAGTCTGCGCATGCGGGAGGCTCTGTCGTGGCCTGCAGCAGACACGTACGCTATGGTGAGAGTCGTGGGCAAGGAGCCACTGGACAAGGAAGCCAGCGGCCGGAAGCCGGTGGAACTCCAGTCGTGGATTGGCTATGGATGTCACCGCCGCCCTCATCCGATACCGTATCCTCCAGGGTCTGGCGCCTCCTGGGCGCATTCCTTACCCAACGCCCCCACCGGAGAAAATCTTGCTGCGAGACAGCTTGAGACACATTCTTCTCCGATCGCCGCATGCCCTAAGCAACCTTGAGCTCCTGTGGATCCCCTGAGGGCACAGGGGGATGGGGATTTTCCGTGGGGCGCCTGCCGACAGGCTCGTGTCTGCTACTCAATCTGATTGCTCTCCCCTCCCCTGCCGCATTCCCCTTCTTCTCCCTGCAGCCACGGGGCGAACTCTCGAGCTTGTAGAAAAGTGCATCCTTGGCCCTCCCAGCGCAGGCCGCGCGTTCCCTTTCCGCACCCGCGGGGGTTCCTACCTACTTCACCCTGGGGCGGTGCGCCTGGGAGCCGTTGAAGCTGAGCAGCAGCTCAGTGCCGGCCGAGATTTCCTTGTTCTTCTTCTCCTTTCCCTCGCACCTTGACCACACGGCGGTACAGCGCGGACGCGACCGCAAGAAAACCCTCGCAGGAAAACCCAACCCCGAAAATCCGCGCGGGGGGCTCAACCGGGGGCGGAACATCGAGCAGCGCACGGAGCGAAAAAGTTGGAGATAGCCTGGCGAAACACTTTTGGTGCTTGATGCGCGGCCCCATCTGTAGACTATAGACCCTGAAACGCGAATAGTCACCAACAGTGAGCACGGAGCTCGATCGGCCATGATCGTCCACGACGGGATCATGAGTAACTCGAGGCTCGGGACAGGTTCTGATTGGATGTTGGGGTCACTGGCGTGCAGCATGCTATTCCGACGGCTGTCTGCTGCCCTCGAGATCGAGGCGAAATGATTCGTCCTGGCGGAGCTCGAGATTTCCAAATGACCACGAGCCTCCCTTCTTCATGTCGCCTCCTGTGATGGCTGCAAGTTTTGTCTCAAAGGTGACAGCACGACTGAGGCAACATCAGAAGGCACAGAGCGAGATGGCCCCGCTGCACCAGCGGACCACCAATTACAGTGGTCCTCCATGTGTACCTGATGGACTCGGTGGCCCTCCGCAAGTCGAGAGTGCAGATGCAAGTGGATCGGAACGGATCAGATCGCAGATGACTGGGCTGCATCACATGCAGACAAGACGAGCCTCAAGGAATGTGGGATGATTCGGGCGCGGCGTAACTGACCCCTAGCAAACCATCCGCATCCGTGACGTCACCCTCGCATTTCAAGCTCCCCTCCGGCCACACACATACGCCTTGGGGCGAGAAGATGGTGGAGGGAGGGTCGGGTCGGACCAAAGGAGCGGTATTAAGTCGAGCATCTGGCTAAGAAACCTCCTCCCCAGAAGCTGTGCCAGCGTTTCTCAACCAATTGCTGGAAAGCTGGCCCAGTTTCTTGAGCACGTTCGCCCCTCCAGCGTTAACAACAGAGACTGGCCCAGGTTTGGCTCAGAGAACATTCGGGTAGCTGGCCCAGGTTTCTTGAATGACGAACTAACAACACACACCCATACCCATTGGGGGGTCGTTGGGAGGAGGGCTGGCTATGGGTATGGATGCGGGTTGTCGGGCCCCGAGGGATTGCTCCCGTTCGAGCGGGGACACCCGTCCGACAACACGCACCCATAGCCCTCTCCGACCTCCCTATGGGTATGGGTGTGTGTTGTTGGTTCGTCATTGAACGACTGTTCTTAACAAACTGTTCGGCTGTAAAGGGGGGGCGCGAGTTGGCCCGCGTATCTATCTGATTTCCCGGCGCCTCCTGGCGCCGCAGGCGCCAGTGTATCGAACAGCATGCCGGCTACACGCACGAGTGAAGCTAGGCAATAATGACCTTTGGCGCGCGGCTGAAGGGGGACACTACCACTTCGCGTTCAGCGATCGGGGGACCCCTTTGAGCCCGCAGCAAAGGTCACCTCAGCAAGGGTCACTGTTACGTGTGGTCGAGAAAAGGGGGGGTCGCAAATTGGCCTCGGGATTGGCCTCGGGGCAATGCGAACTCGGGCCAGTCAGGCCTTGCAGGATCCTGCGAGATCCTGCAGGATCCAGCAGGATCCTGCACGCTGGTCTGGGTCAGTGCACCCCTGGCGCTGCAGGATCCTGCAGCATCCGGCGCTCTGGCCGACCCCCGTTTGCACTGACCCCCCTCCCCCAGGGCCCACGATTCCCCACGATTCCCGGCGCCTCCCGGCGCCGCAGGCGCCCCTCGGGTCAAAGGAAAACGCGCCCGGCCGAGGGGGGCCAGCAACGGCCGCGTGCAGCGGATTCCGTGCATCGCCGCCGCTCTCCTTCTCCCCCCTTTGATGAACGCGAAGACTATAGAAAGCTATATCGTCCTATAGGTTTCTATAGGATTGTATCAACATATAGCATGGAAAAATGAAAAATAATGAAAAAAAATGAAAAATATTGCACACTATTGAAAAATAACGAAAATTATGACACATAGTGAAAAATAGTTAAAAATATATTGAGAAATGAAAAATAGTTAAACAATGGTGAGGATCAGAAAAAATATTGGAAATATTTTAAAATAGTAAAGCCGTTCGCAAAATTTCGAAGCAAAGCGGTTGGCCCGCTCCTCCTCCTCCCCCTCCTCCCACGAGAACCCAACAAATCTCCCAGCAGGAGGAGGAGGAGGAGCAGGAGGAGGAGGAGGAGGAGGAGCAGGAGGAGGAGGAGGAAGAGGATCTCCCAGTCCGCCGGCCAGTTGTCCACTTCATGGATCAGCGGGAGGAACACTGGATCCTCCGCCTCCACGGGTAGATCGTCATCAGGAACTCCAGGCTGCTCGTCGTGGAAGGCGATTTCCACATTCGCCGCGCTGGTCGGGTCTTCCTCAATCAGGTTGGCAGGGTGCAGAAGGAGCCAAGTGATCAGGCCCTCTTTGTCCTCTGTGAGGGCAGGGAAGAGGGTGTGGAGCATTAGCAGCGCCTGGCGAAGTTGATCAGGCTCAAGAGCATCAGGGTGGCCAGGATGCTTAGGGGCCCCGGTGGATGGAGCAGCTGGCGGGGACGTCGAAGAAGGCGTCGCCGACGAGGTCGCAGTAGATGGCGGGAGGATGTGGGGGATCAGCAAGTTGATCGCGTCTAATGTGTTTTGCGGAACTGATTCCCACTGTGGCGACTCGTTCCAAACCCCAGGCCCAGTGTTAGCAGCCTGGGGGCCCAACTCACTCCCTTGGCCAGCAGCGCGCTCACGAGGAAGGAAGCGAGGATGGAGAAGCTCTCTGGGAACCCCACGAGGCGGCAGACGAGGACGGAGCAGCTGTCTATGATCACCAGGAGGCCGAGGAAGATCAGGATGATGCTGAACCTCGGGTTCTAAACTGCCATGGTGAACAGGAAGACGCCCAGACGCTGACGATGCCGCAGCAGAGGCGGAGGCAACATCAGGGCCATCAGCCTGCGACTCGGTAGGGGAAGAGGACTGCGCCAATGTAGGGAGAGGAACAACCGGAGGCGTCACTGTGCCGTTGTCCAGACCATCCTTGGACTCCCCTGTCTCGTCCTGTGGCAGTGTACTAATCCCGTGACGACCAGGAAGTTGCGGAGGAGGTGGACAGGCCTGAGGTGGCGACGGCACCGCAGGGGTATCAGAGTTCGAAACGCGAGCGGGGTCCAACCAGGCAAGAACATCAGCATCAGCACCAGGCGGCGGGGGTCCATCAGAGCTTACTGGGGGTCGCGACGGCAGTGTATGCGGTGATGATGGTGGTTGAGCTTGCCGTGCTTCTGGTGGCTTGGCCCTCGGACCGAAATGGTAGTCGTACTCGTCGTCACTTATGATTTCGTCCTCGAATGGAGGCGGAGGGCCCCTGTCGATCACCGCAGCGCTGTCATTCATGGCATCCATGATGCGGAGGTCCCCGTCCGTGGGCGAAGGGTAGTCAGTGTGGGCGGCTGCGTCATCGTCAGGGGGATATTCGTAATCCTCAGAGGTTTCTGCTGACGGCCTAGATCGAAGATTGGGCTTCAATGGATCGACGTCCATCTGTTCAAGCGTGAAGTTGTGGAACCAAACCAGGGGGTTGAGCGCAGGTAGCGATGATGGCACAGGAGTTGCACGCCAGGTCGTAGCAGTCGAGACCCATTGAAGAAAGCGCGTACGATTTGGAGCCTCCATCCGAGACGGATCAGGACGCCACTCAAGCATTTCTCAGTGCAAAAGAAGCTTCTCACAAGCCGCGTGAAGAGCAACAGGATCATTGTGAGGTATGCCCCGCAGAAGTTGTTGACGTAGCCTCTCGCGAAAGATAGCAGAACCATGCCAGCCCGCCATGCAAACTTCGTCAGCTGCTCTCTTCATAGTCTTAGCCAGGTTGGTCCTGCGATTTGCGAACAAGGGAGCAAAGCCACGATAGTGAAGCACTCCGTAGGCGTAGTCCACACACCAGTCCAGCCACGTGTTGAAGTCGCTTTGGGGCGCGGCGTAGAAGATGGATGGAAGCCAAGAGGATGACCAATTGGTGGCCCGATTGGTGAGTTCTCTCCGCCGCCCCTCGGCTTCCTGCCGCGGAGTGCGCTCCGAGAAAGGTGATGGCGGATGCGACGCAAGATCAACCACCTCAATAGAAGTAGCCTGGCCCACAGTAGAGACTGACGGTCGGTATTGCACATCAGCAATGCCTGATGAGGCAGGGCAGCGGGGCGCGGTACTCTCTGCCTGCCGAAGCCCCCAGTGCTGGCCCACCCCCAGGCGATGACGCGCTATGCGTGCCGACAGCCTCCGGATCAGCAGCCGGGTCTCCCACCACGAGGTCGAACGCGTCACCGATGATCCTCAGGCACGGCAGCCAAGAGGACGTACACCCACTGTCTGATGAGTCTTCGCCACTGCTTGAGGTTGTAGAAGACGGCGGCGAAGAAGACGAGGAGGAAGAAGACGACGAAGAAGATGTGACCGCCCGTTTGCGACACGCAAACGGCGGCGAGGACCGTCTCCACGGAAGTTGGCCAGGACGCCGCGCGCCAAGAGAAACGGTACGAATAGCCGCCAGGACATGAGATCGAACGAATGTTGGGGACCAGGTACCAGCAGGGGCAGCATGGGACGCCGCGTGGTAGGTGAAGCGCATCACCGCGATGTCGAAGACGATCCTTCTGATATCCACTGTGGAGCCGAAGAGGCCAAGACGACCAAGAGGGTGGGCAGGTCGAGAGAAGCCAATAGCCTCCTCACAAATGGCGCGGAACTTCGGGCACGAGAGGTAATGCTTGAGCTGATCCGCGGCGTCGTCGCATCCAAAGCGGCATGGGAGGCGCCCACGATCACCAAGTATGCGGGTTGATCTCGTCCAGCCATTGGCAACAGTTTCCAGGTACGCCATGGCCCACGAGGTCGAGCATGAGCGGAGGTACTTCGTGATATGAGACCATCTCGACGCTGGAATTTTAGTTACACCATCGCAGCGAATGTCGGGGTATGCGAGAACAAGCCGCACCAACAGCGAGTTCCAAAGCGGATGAGGAGTAAGATGCTGCTTGGCCACCAACGCAATAAATCTCTGCAGGCCCGCTCCAGAAGGGGTGGTCGAGGAGGTGACGAGTAGCCGCCTGGCGAGCATCTGTCAGCAGCTCGTGCGAGTAGACCTTGGACTGGAGCGGGCCGTGCTTAATGTTGTAAGGCGCCCCCACGAAGGCCTCACTGCGCCAGAAGGCTGGGCATGGGCGCGACGATGACGTCTGAGCGAAGAGAGATGTAGTCACCCAGGCGACGATGCTGACGGTAGAGCCACGCATGTAACCGCTCGAACTCGGGCATAGTACGGTGGGCAGTGCGAAGTGAGGAACCAGTGCTCATCGCCAGCCATGAGGCAATCGTCGGTCCACCCGCAGAGCGCAACTGAAGCCAGGCAGGCGTCGAGAAAGTACCCAAGGGCAAACGAAATTAGCGCGACAATGCCACAATTTCGCTACGCACTAGCCACTGCAGCATCATACGGAACTGGGCGACATAAGAGAGAACTGGGGTGATGCGGGTGTTGTGGCGCACTGGCAGGCGAGAGACAGGAAGATGGCGATGGCCAACCAGCTTGGAACGTTCATGAGCCTTCATCGCAGGCGCTGTCCAGCACGAGTCAGCAACGGCAGCAGGACCAAGACTAAGCCCAATGTACGTGAGGGACTCGACGATGTTGATGCGGTCGAAGAACGGAGCATGGGCGCAGAGCAGCGCGCACCCCACCAACCACAGCCTCCGAGAACGGCTTGCGCAGCGGAACCAGATTGCATTAGTCAATCCTCAGAGACAGCGTGGCAAACCTTTCAGCGTGCAGCATGCTGTCCGCTAAGATGGCCAGGTTCAAGATGTTTCTGATGGCGGCGCCAATGTCGTCGGCACAGGCTCGCGCGATACCTTTACGCGGTGCTTCAAGCTGGCGCTGAAGATCCACGAGGAATGGAGCAGTAGCCGCAAAGTAAAGGGAACCACTCAAGGAGCAGCCTTGTACAATGGCAGACGTAACCCACCAGTTATGGATAGGCGCATTGCGGACCATCGCGAACGCCTCGAGCCCCAGGTAGAGCTGGTCAATGATGGACGAGAAGGCGCGCGGCACCTGCATCTCGTTGAGCACCAAGTACATACATTGCTGAGACAGGCTAGGAAAGGCAGCGCCATTGTCGAGAGCCACCAAGGCAGGGATGCTGGACGTGGCGAACGGCGCATTTGGGTAGACCCTGCTGACCGTGTCAAGCTCCAGAATGTTCACTCCAAAGCTCCTCTGCGGGATAAAGCCTCGCTGAGAGCGAGGGGCCCAAGATTTGAGAAGAACGCTGAAGCGCGCATTGATCGTGGCGGTGATAATATTGATATCGGCACTGCGCAGCCCAAGCACTCTGACCAAGACAGCGACCGAGTACAACCTGCAGCAACACTGCCAGCAGGGTCGTCTCCTTTTGGGAGCCAAACTTGGAGCGCATCGTTGGGCGACTTGAATAGTGCTCGACCTGAGAGAATCCACATCATCGCATCCGAGAGCACTGAAAGGCCAAGGGGTGATGAGCTCCAAGCCGATTAGGGAATGCCATCGGGACCAGGTTCGGAATGACGAAACTTCTTGGCAACAGCACGGAGAAGTGACGGTGTCGGCGGCGGTGCTGCATCAAAACAAATTGGTTGAGTAAGGCCTTTCACGCAGTCCCGAGCAGCAGGAACATCAATTTGTTTAGCAGTGAAAATCGGAGCCCAGTGCTCCACCAGCTTGTTGCGCATGTGAATATTGTCGGAAGTGGAGGACGCGCCTGCGCCCGAGTCTTTAATGCCTTGAAGAAACAGCCGACGAGATAGTGGTGACCAGATGGACGCACGCCTCTCGAGAGCTTGAAGTTGGTGGCGAAGTTGAGGGGGGGAGCGTCCACCAGCGAGCTCCGCTTCCAGGTGACGGCGATGATGGTCAGCATGACGCAACTGAACAGCTTCGCCCCACTGCTGGAATGAAGGAGCATGAACCAGCGAGACATTACCCGACGAGATGTCCACGAAGTCTCTGGCAGCCTGATGAGCAGCACGGAGGCGGACAGCAAGAGAAACATCATTGCGCCAAACCGCTCGAGATATCTGCCTCGCCAGAAGAAGCTGCGAGCCCAGGGCCTCGGAATCGTACCGAAGGAAGCGATCTTGAATCTCACGCGCAGCTTCTTTAACAGCCCGCTTGAATAACTCGATCTGCCTTGGCGGCAAGCGGGGCGCAAAATCTAGCTGCCGAGTAACAGTGCCCAGTAGGTCCTCGAAGGCGTCCGGCTCGAATATATGCCTCGGGATCTTCTGATATTCCTCAGGCTTTGTGGAGCGCTGCGAGAATGAACAAGACTGGGCTGCGTGGTCGCTCACCTCCTTCTCTGCCAAAGCCTCAAGAAGCCCTAAGAAACGAGGAACAGCGTGAATCTGGCAAACGATCCAACCAAGGGGACTGACCCAACGCCTATCCAAGGCAGAGACCGAGTGACCGTTCGCATCGCAATGAGTAGGCTCGTCGGACGTGAGCTCCTTGAGCAGCGCCAGTATCTTAGACCACTTGGCGGCCTGAGCGCGCCGGCCTTTTCCTGCGCCCCCACGGCGACCAGGGCGATGGAGAAGAAGAGGAGAAGAGGCAGAAATTGAAGTCCCCGTGCACGACAACCGTGGCTGTCAAGGGAGAACTTCTGGCAAAATTGATATCAGCACCAAGTGCCAGGCTAATCTTTTGAAATTGGGCGGCATCGATGCCGTGGTTGTGTACATTGCAATGGAAAAGATGGTGCCCCTCATGCTGCAGATGTAGACGGATCACACGACCAGGAACAAGCTCTTCAGGATGAACTGACGCAGGGCAGGAGCCAGGCAATACTGTGGCGACCCCTCCTTTCACTAACGATTGCTCGCAGCGGGAAGAGAAGATGCGCACGACACGATGAGCTTTCCCAATTAAAACCCGTAACTGCACAGCGTCCTGATGCAGCTCCTGAAGGCACACCACCCCATTCAAAAAGTCTAAACGACGGAGGTAGTCCAACTTCACCTTGGAGTGAGCACCCGGGCATTGAAGAAGAGCCCGCGCGTTCCCTGTGGTAAAAGAAACCAGACCGTGTCCTCGATACTCACCTCGAAGCATTCTCCCCAGCGAGCTAAAGACACCATTCAGCTGTCTCAGGTGGTGCCACGGTGGCGGCAGCCGCCGCCGATAGTTGCTGCTCCGGGAGCCCAAGCTTGGTGATGAGGTTGTCGGCCCAGTTGAGTGTGGATGGCGAGTTGCCAGGGTTCGGAACGATCTTGAGAATCGGGCCCCAGCCTGCCATGACGTAGCCTCTGCCCATGTCAACAAACCATCGCATAATGGAGTCGATCTCTTTGAAGGCGCCCCGAATCTTCCGCGCCTGCATCTCCATGCGGATCTGTCGTGGATTTTTGTCAGGGCCGATCTGAAGAGCTGTGGTCTGACCATCAGCGGCGGTGGTCTCGAAGCGCTTCCATTGACCAGGCCCCAGACGTTGTGCCCCGAGCACTTTGGCGACTCGGCGTGCGGCAGGGGCAGGATCACCAACGAAGTCGACGGAGAAGCTGCGGCTGACGGCTTCCGAAGAAGAGATCTTGAATACTTTCGGCTCGACACCGACCTCGGCGATCCAATCGGAAAGGGTCTGATGAACATTTTCGAGGGCCGTGAGCTTGGCAGAGATGACCTTGATAACGCACGGGCCGGTGTCTCGGTCGAACCCAGTGGCGGAAACCAGCGGAACCTTGGGCGCGCCATTGGCGACGGCGAGGAGTTCGTGCAGCTTCTTGATCTCGGCCTTGAGGAAGGGGATGTCAGAGTCGCGGGTGTCCAGTCGAGACCCATGGGCATGCAGGCGAATGTGCATCCCGTCGATATGTTCTTGAAGGCGGCGGCTTTGACCATCCAGGCGCTTAGCAGCAGCATCATCAACCATCTTGGGTAGGGCCTTGACGCCTTGGGCCAGCTCAGCGGCGGACTCGGCGTGTTCGGTGAGCTGCTCGACAAAGAGGTTAATGGCCTCATCGACCGTGGACTTGATGGAGTCCAGCATCGTCTGCTTGTAGTCGCGCAACAGCTTGGTGGCCTCTTCTTTCGCCAAGTACCGCGCGTATTCGTCAGGACCTGTTTCCCCCCAGTCCCAATCTTCATTGCCAGCATCGCCGTGAGTGCCATGAGCAGCATCACCTGCAGCGGGTACAGGAAGGTCCTCTGCAGCAGCAGAGGCAGGAGCACCAGCGCCACCAAGAGGCTGAGCAGCAGCTGCCCCAGCGGTGTCGTCGCTGTTGTCGCCATCAGGCAGGTCATGCTTCTTCAGACCCTTCCTCTGCTTCTTGGGCTTCTTGCTGCCGAGAGACGCCACAGGCATGCGGCGGCCCGCGCGCGCGGCGCCGCGATCACTGAGCCAAGAGGCTACGGAAGGGGCCAAAGCTAATCGCAACACCTCGGTTCCCCGAGCCTTCGTTACGTTTAGCCTGGAGCCAAAATTGCTTGAGCCAAAATTGCTACGGCGGAGCAGGAGGAGGAGGAGGAGGAGGAGGAGGAGTAGGAGGAGGAGGAGGAGCAGGAGGAGGAGGAGGAGGAGCAGGAGGAGGAGGAGGAGGAGGGGCGGGAGGAGGAGCGCACGTAACTCATGAGGGCATGGTTCGGTTATCGAGTGGCGCTGATGGCCAGCTTCGTGGCACGCAGGAGCCTCAGGTGGGCCTCAAGGTCGCCGCAACGGGAAGGCGAGGCCTCATGCTCTGCCTTGAGCTTATGGTAGAAGTGAAAACTAAGCACGACTAAGCGATGAGCGGTCTCTCGGGTGACCTGCGAATCATAATCTGAATCGAGGCCAAGGCCGAGACGGGCCAGGGGGCAAGAGGGGAGGAAGAGCCTCGGACGGGCGAGGAGGTGGAGGAGACG